GAAATACTTTTATAAAATTGCCGATGCCATAAAATTAGACTGTATTACCTTTGCGACCCAACTGATGTCGGCGTCTCTCATTGATCAATCCGTGGTCGAAGAGATCACTCTTACTCCAGGATTGACTCCACCTTACAAGGCAAATATTGTCCTCTTTAAAGTTCAACCTGGACTGAAGAATTCTAAAGATCCAGTCAAGTTTTTCATAGACTTTTGCTCTGTTCTTAAAGACTATGCTCATGCAAAAGAGATTGCAATTGACATGATGCGGGATGCTAGTAAGCAGTAAAATTACTAAATTTACTTTGACCTCTCTCTCTCTCTCTTCTCTAAGATTTAAGTTTTCCTGAAGCTCCACCACTTGTAGTTCACCACAACACTGCTCCTACTGTTACTATTCCTCCTCCAACACACACTCCTAGTGCTCATGGTACTGCTATGGCAGGAGCCTCTACCTCTGCTTCAACTGGTATTGTTGCTGAAGCACCTTCATGTATGTGAAAGTAAAAGAATCCTTGTAAATTATTACTTAGTATTTCTCTTCAGATGATTTCTCTCAATATCATGATGTTAATAGGTATGGGCAACCAACTATGATTGAGTTGCTGAACTGGATTGTTGCTAAAGTAAGTCTATAGTTTTAATGAGCAATTATTCTATTCTCATTAATGGAATAGAATCCCAGTATTTGGAATGAAGTTGGTGGCCAGTTAGGCATATCAGAGGGAAGTCTGAAGGCTATACAGATGAATATTTCATTTGGAGCAAACCCCAAACTCCTTTTTAAAGAAGTTTTGTCTTTATGGGATAGAAGTCGCTCTAGGCCTTATACCTGGGGGACAATCTTAGATGCACTGGCTTCTCCTATTGTTGAACATGTTGGACTTGCACAAGATGTTGCTAGAAAACTGGACAGTAAATAATGTAACAGTAGTTGATACGTAATGTAAAAGATTATGCATGATTTAATTGAAGATCATGAAATTTGATGTACACAATGATATTGAGCACCAATGTGCTGTGTACTGTATAGTGGGTTTTTTGAGGATAACAATTTTTGCGGTTTTTTAAGATTCGCAAAATTGAAAATCAATTTAATACAGTACAAGATGGCATAACAGTAGAAATTTGCGAGAATTAATTTTGTGAACCTCCAGATACAGATTGTTTGTGAAAATTATTATCCTAAAAAATGCTATATGGTAGTTAGTATCCTACTATAATCGTCAGTGGGAGTGTTAATGCGTGTGTGCTCTATTACATGGATAATATGTCATGTATAATATATATATATATATATATATATATGTTATCTAGTATGTTTATAGTATGTTATTTATGCCTAATTGCTACTTGGTAGTAGCTAGAGTAGTATAGTGAGTTGTGGTTATGATGTTGCAGGTGCTGCAAAATCTTTCCATTTGACATTCATGTCCTCTTGAAATATTCCAAATACTTTTACATTGCTCTTCTTGCCTTTCAACACACTTTGAATATAGTGTTACACTGCCATTTTGTTACTTCATTGCAATAGCTAAGATATTCATCACTTGCTCCATTTCTTTGATCTCATGCATGATGCATATAACATCAACTGTAAGAGAATGAATAGGAAGAGGGAGAAAGGGCTTCATCTTTTTTTGTTATTAATGCTATTGCAATTTTTGTGTGCAAAAGAAATATTTGATGTGGAATTTAAATATTACTGGTATCATCAGTGTTGAGTGAGTTTTAATTATTATTGATAATTATCACACCAAGCGAAAAGATTAAAAGCAAAATTATTGATAATTATCATACCAAGCCTAAAAAGATTAGAAACAAAATTATTGATAATTATCCCACTAAGCTAGAAAAGATTAGAAGCAAAAATCACATCACTGAAGCTAGAAAAGATTAGAAACAAAATGTTTCTATGTACCTATAGCTATAAAATTGCCTAAAAATAAAACACAAAAACATTAATTATTAGTTAATTCATTTTATGTGTTCATCCAGCCCCCTTTTATGTCCTTTCTCACTCTTATGTATTAGATCGTGTATTTTCTGTATTTGATCGAGATCGTGAATTAGATAATGTCTTGGATCGTGACCTTTCTCTCTCTTCTGGTGTCGGTCCCTCTTCTGATGGTGTTGGCTTCCCTTCTGCAGGTGTTGGCTTCTCTTCTGCAGGTGTTGGCTTCTCTTCTGCAGGTGTTGGCTTCTCTTCTGGTGTTGGGTGCTCCTCTGTCTTAGATCGTGACCTTTCTCTCTCTTCTGGTGTCGGTCCCTCTTCTGATGGTGTTGGCTTCCCTTCTGCAGGTGTTGGCTTCTCTTCTGGTGTTGGGTGCTCCTCTGTCTCAGCGGGTGGTGTCTTTTCTTTCTTGCCTGGTGTTGGTGGCTCTTCTGTCTTAGATGGTGTTTTTTCTTTCTCTTCTGGTTTCTTCTCATTGCAAAGTGGTAGCGATTCTTCTTTAGTGATCTGACACTCATGTTTCAATCCAGTCCTCAGGCACACAGTACAGTTCTTACATGC